AAAAGAAAAGAAAAGAAAAGAAAAGAAAGAAAGAAAGAAAGAAAGAAAGAAAGAAAGAAAGAAAGAAAGAAAGAAAGAAAAGAAAGAAAGAAGGAAATAAATTAAAAAGGACAGGAAAGTACATATAAAGTTACATCACAACCTTGGATAACTGAGCTGACATGACCACCACTGGACCCCTCCTCCTGAAAGCATGAGAGAGAGTACATCTGAAGAGTCTTTTGCCTAGAGCTGCTGCCTCTTTCCTCTCAAACTGAAAGAGAAGGGCTTCCTGGGACCATCCCGAGAGCTTCAGCTGTGGTCTCTGGGGGCTGGGAAACCCAGTAGGTGGAGGCACAACCCCTGCCCAGGAAACATGGAGGGTGGGAGAGATGGGAGAGTAGGTGTCTTTGGTGGTGGACTGAGGAGGGGTTGCCTCTGTGTCCAGGAGGCACGGTCCTCCTCTTCAGTGGCCAGTCAAAACCTGAGAGGACATTTCCTGAGGACTAGATGTAGACTATATGAGAGAGAGAGAGAGACAGAGAGAGAGAGACAGAGACAGAGACAGAGACAGAGACAGAGACAGAGAGAGACAGAGAGAGAGACAGAGAGAGGGGGGGGGAAATATTGAAAGTCTGAGAGAGAGAGAGAGAGAGAGAGAGAGAGAGAGAGAAAGAACACGCGCAAGCGCGCACGCAAGTGAGTACGCGCCAGCCTGGAGCCATTGTAAACCCTATCCAAGAGATTCCTTTAGAGCAAGGGTGCCCAACCCCCAGGAATGACAGGTACCAGTCCATGGTCTGTTAGGAATGGGGCCGCACTTCAGGAGGTGAGTGGCGGGCAAGAAAGCAAAGCTTCACCTGTATTTGCAGCTGCTCCCCAGTGCTAGCATCACCACTTCAGCTCCACCTCAGATCATCAGGCATTAAATTCTCACAGAAGCACTTGGTCTCCTGGTTGGGGGCTACTGCCTTAGAGTGGAATCTGACAGCTAGTGGCCTAAGTGGCACAGACCCCTGCAGAAACAGGGCCTGAGAGGGTGGTGACCAAATGAAAGAAAGGTGTCAAGCATCACCAGAGTTGCAGTCAGAGGAGCCAGGTAGGGGACTTCAAAGAACCCAAGAAAGCTCCTAAGATGTAATGTCAGCTTTAAAATCAGGAAACAGAAGGAGAGGAGGAGTGATAACCCAGTCCCCACTATGAAGAGTCATCTTAACATGGGACCAGGCCGAGGGGAGGGAGGGGATGTGATCAGTTCAGAGTTTAGATCATTTTTAGCCACTGAACATTTTAATTTCAGAACTGAAGCTGCTTTGGCTACTTAAAGGGACCAAAGGACCTTTTATATTCTAAGAGGGAGTCCATGTGCTATGGGGCCTGCCCAGAGAACCATATTTTACCTAGAGGCAAGAGGAAAATTTCCCCCACTGAAAAAATTATAAAAGGAAGACAAAAATAAATTTGAATCTGATGACACCCTACAAGTTGTACTTGCTGAACATATTGGCTGCACAGTCTTGCTTTAGGTGTCTATCACTTATTACAGGAACAGTCTAATACAATTACTTAGTAAATCAGGGAAATTTTGGAGCCAGCAGTGGTCTCCCCTCTGAGTTACTGTCTTCTCTATTTTACAGAAGAGACTGGCGAGGCAAAGAGAACTCGAGATTGTCTTACCCAAGGGATCCTTGTGAGCTGGAACTGGAGATGAGCCTTTATTAGCTTACCCTTCTTTGAATTCATTTACTCATCTTCCATATGCTCAGCAGAAGGAATGAGGGATGAGTAAATGAATTCAAAGAATTCATTTCCCATATTCCCTAGGAAAACACTAGGGCTTTCCTAGAATATTCAAATCAATCAGCCACGGACCTTGTTTTCAAGGACAGGTTTACAATAACATTGAGGGGAAAGTCACATGCATAACTGTCTAGAATAAAAAGTGTCACTGACCTCTCCCCCACCCCCCCACCCCTCCCTAGGAACACTAGGGCTTTCCTAGAATATTCAAATCAATCAGCCACGGACCTTGTTTTCAAGGACAGGTTTACAATAACATTGAGGGGAAAGTCACATGCATAACTGTCTAGAATAAAAAGTGTCACTGACCTCTCCCCCACCCCC